GGGGTATGTGTGTGTAATGTTTGACATTTTTCACCATACACAACCCCACAAAAAAAGAATGACTGTGTCGGCCTGTTTCATCGGCTTCTCTGGCATATGAACAAGAGCTGTTGAAATCATTTGATCCAAGTTTGCTTTCTGCTATGCACGACAATTTCGTCGACAAAAAATAATCACTGAACAATTGATAGTCAACTGGCTAACTTTTGTATTGTCAACTGGCTAACTTTTGTGTTGTCAACTGGCTAACTTTTGTCTCATCAGTGGGACGTTGAACCCCGACAGTCTGCCCAGGATGCATTTCATTGATGGACTTGGCACTTCTTAAGAGAAAAAAAGTGGTCGACTTTACTCACGCCAGTCCTCTGTGTGTGGGGGTGTGTGTGTTGTGTGTGTGACACTTTGTCGCGACGTGACATTGTTTGTGACACTCGTCTTCTGTGTGATGACGCGACGTGATCGTGTGCGACGACCTCGTGGACACCACAACACTAACGACCCACATGGACATGTGGTCCTCTTACGGCCACGTGGACATGGACACGTCACGTAAAATGCCAGCTCGGCTTTCTTCGGAAGCCGCTCGTTGGGCAGTTCCAAGGCGGTGTCTGGCTTTTCCCTGAGTCTGCCGAAGAGCCAGCTGCAGAGCTCGCGACTTGTGTGCGAGGCGGAGAAGAAGAAGCCCGACAGGTGGAAGGGTCTGGTAGAGGACATCTCCGATGATCAGCAGGACATTGTACGTGGCAAGGGCAACGTCGATGCTCTCTTCCAGGGTTCATGGGGAATGGGAACGCAAACGGCCATCATGCAGTCCTATGACTACGTCAGCCAAGGACTCAGAGAGTAAGTTCCTTCTTTTTCTTTTCTTTTCTTTTTGGCTTTTCCTTCCTTCCTTTACGTGCGTGCGTTCGTGCGTGCGTGCGTGTGTGTGTGTGTGTGTGTGTGTGTGTGTGTGTGTGTGTGTGTGTGTGTGTGGCTGTTTTTGCATGCAGTAGGCGTGGACACGAGGCAGACAGTTCGACGTCTGTTTTTGCATGCGGTAGTCTCTCTTCCTGGTTTTGCAGGTTTTGCATGCACAACTTGAAAGCGATTCAGCTGTCGGCAAGGGCTCTTTTTGTTGTGGCTGCTTTTTTTTTTCTTTTTTGGTTGTTGGTTTTGCCCATAATGCTGTACACACTTCTATACATTTTTTTGTGACGCATGTGATCAAGAGCATGTAGGCCGTTGCTTGTCAGCACTACTCTAGAATCATACACACTCTATGCTAAAACAAAAGAGAGACTGCTATAGCTAATGCCATCTAATAGCACTACTTAGCAAGAGCACAAGCTCTATCCTTACTACTGGCATAAGGAAAGAACCACGCCCCGCTGATGCTATGTCGGTCCTTAGGAAGCATGAACCTGGCCGATTTCCTGTGAGCTTAGTACAACCATAGCGCCTACCAGTGCCCGACTCTGAGTACATCAGTTCTAGAGTAACTGTGATGGCGATGTGAAACCAAGGAGCATAGAAGTTGACTTCCACCAACAACGGACTCTTATTATTGAATCCCAATTTCGCGAGACGAACATCACAAAGCACACACACACACACACACACACACACACACACACACACACACACACACACAAAAAAAAAAAAAAAAAAAAAAAAAAAAAAAAAAAAAAAAAAAAAAAAAAAAAAAAAAAAAAAAAAAAAAAAAAAAAAAAAGATGAACATCCCCTCATCTTCCAGGCGGAGTGAAGTAGCTAAAGGCTAACCCTGTTTTTTTCCCTTTTTCCTTTCCACCGGTGGGCAAAGACGGCTGGGACTTTCTCTGTGCCCGCGGCCAGGGACTGCCTGCGGGACTGAACACTGCGGTGCCCTAGAGCATCATGAAAAGGATGAGCAAACAGCAAACAATACTTGTGAGGATGCCAGGTAGTTATTGGCGAACGGGATCTTTAGGTCTCAAGAAAAGAAAAGGGAAAAAAAAAAAAAAAGCATAATCTCTCCACTGTTTATCGTCACCCGATGCTTCCTGCAAAGGCATGAGATCTACAAAGTTGATGCCACGTCAGCAAACGTTTTCCCTGAGCCGCTCCTCGCTGATGTGGCGGGAGCTAAATCGAGTTGAAGCCACGTCAGCAAACGTCTCTCTCTCTCTCTCTCTCTCTCTCTCTCTCTCTCTCTCACACACACAAAATAGCAACATTAAAACCACGAAGATGAGGGAACTGAACTCGCCAAGAACGAACAGCGCGGCAACGATGCGAAACCACAAAACCCACAGTGAGCCCCGCAGCTTCTCACAACGCTGGCTCTAAGCAACGGGACGGGACGGGCCGGGCCGGGCCCCGTCCAGGATCGAGGAGGCAAGTCACTTACCAGCCTGCGACGGGCCCGACCGGACCACATTTCTGCGGGGACCGAGCGCGTCAACCTTTGTTCGCCCTGCCAAGAGTGCACTTCGAACCCGACACCGCCGGCACTGAAAAACAAACTCGCGACCGGAAAAAAACGGGACACCGCTGGGACAGCTTGGGCCCAGCGGGGAGAGTCTTGCAAGACCCGCTGCACTATTTAGGAAGATTGAGATAATAATAATAGTAGATAGATAGATTATGCTACCGCGGTGACTGTGGTTGTCCAAGAACCGGAAAGCTTCAGACCGGCATCTTTGTGTGTGTGTGTATCCATGCTTGGAAGTTGCACCTTCACCTTGTTCTCTTCTCACTGCTTGCCTGCCACCTTGCGCCGTTTCTGCCGGACAATACAGATAGACAGACAGTGTCAGACACACACAGACAGACATAGAAAGTACTATTCTTCCCCCCCAAAAAAAAAAAGAAAGTACTATTCAGGGTGGCCAGCACAGCAGGAGTTTCAAACTGAAGTCAGACACTAAGGCTGGATTCATGTATGAACAGCCAGCCATACATACAGTGTCTGATTTATATACAGGCTGGAAGCTGCGGGGTGCACGCGGCGATTCATATGCACACATTACATTGAAACGCGTGAAGCTCCGCGTGCACCTCGCGGCTTGCCTCTTTGCGGTTCTACCCGCAAGGATGCTCTCTAATCACAAATACTATTATAATCTCTTCTTTCCCTCCTTCCTTCCCTCCCCCCAACCCCGTCCCCAGGCTTTTTTTTGACTCACACAACCTCTTCTGCGCTGTGTTTTCTTCTTCTTCTTCTTCTTCTTCTTCTTCTTCTTCTTCTTCTTCTTCTTCTTGTTTGTTGAATCAGCCTGGCCAAGTCCAACATCCACAAGGGGTACTACATCTCTCCGTCTTTTATGGACAAGGTGGTAGTGCACATTGCAAAGAACTTCATGACACTTCCCAACATCAAGGTATGATAACAATACATCAACCGTACATCAACCAAGGGGTGCCCGCCTTTTCCTTTTCTCAACGTTTTCCCGTTGTTGAAGTTCAAACCCTTTTTTTTGGAATCTGGTGGGAAATTTTAACCATGGTGCTGTTGAGTGGGAAAAACGCCTGCATGATTTTGGACTAATTTTTGAAATCTTTTTCTGTATGTTGGAACCACATATTGGGGTACCACCGTACCATCAAACATGGGAGTGGAGACCCACCGTCAGGGCCCAGGGGTGGAACGTCATGGATGATATTGTTGGACAAAAAAAAACGTTGGCGAAATCTTACACTCACAGGCCCCTACAGCCGGGTATTCTCTGGTTTGCTTCTTCAAAAATTTAAGAAAAAAATTGTAAAAATGCAGTTTTTTATGGCGAGTCTCAGGGTGGTATCTGAAAGTCTCAGGCCGGTATATGAAAGTCTCAGGCCGAGTCAGACACCATTTGTTCGAGTCTGCCAGTGAGTCCTACCAGTGAGTCTGTCTGTCTGTCTGTCTGTCTGCCTGCCTCTCTGTTAGTCTATCTCTATTTGTTGGAGGCACCATTCATATTGGACTTCTGTAGCTTCAGATCTTTCTTTTGTCCTCTTTTTTCAAAGGGAAATTTTTCAAAATGCCCCTCCCTGACTTCCATTTATTTGCGGTATGCTCCTCTGACGGCGGACTTACCCTGTCGCGCCCCTCTGACAACGATGGAAGTTTCCGAAAAAACCCTGGCGTCGTTTGGGCCTGAAATATGTTCAATATGCCCCTACCAGTACGGGTTCCAAATTTCCAGCATGCCCCGGTAGCTCCCCACCCAGGGCCAGGGGAACGGCCAGTGAGTGCCACCACAGGGGCATACCGCAATATGCCTTTTGGCTGAGATCAAGTGTAGTATCTGTTCTGATCAGTTTAATATCTGATCAGTGGATAAAAAAAACAAAGACCAAAAAAAATAAAACTGATCATAGAATGTTTCTTCGACTCATCAAGAGGCTGAACCCTTGACAATCTGCAGAATTTCCATATTTGATGGTTTGGGTCATGAACCCTTTGATCCGTGTTGAAGGAAGACTGTCCCCAAGCGGAACATAGCATCGGGCATCAACCCTGCGGAGCACCAGGCAACGCACTAGAGGCAACACGGCTGCGCAACGCCACAGCACACAGGACACTCAGCACGACAACCATGCAGTGAAGCACAAAGCAACACCTGCAAGGGACGGCAGTGCAAGCGGACGAGCAGCAAAGCAACCATGCCGTGAAGCACAAGGCAACAACAACAAGGCAACCGAACTACAAGGTACACAAGCAAAGGACAAGGAAGGCATGGTCAGCAGAAGGGTAGCAAGGCAGCGGAGCAGCGAAGTGCAAGGCAACACTGACAACATGGCCACACCACACAACGAAGACAGCAGCTTGCCAAGAAAAACCTGCGAAGCAAGCGGAATGGGCAGCAAGGCTGCGGCGGAGCACAGACAAGGCCGTCCACGCATCCAACACGGAGCAAAGCGGCACATCACCTACTCACATCACGGGTGAACCCCACAAACTGTTGGTTCCCACCACCCACTGAGCCAGAGCCAACACAGACATCATCACTCACAGCCTCACAGGCAACACAGACATCCCAAACCGAGCAGCTCCCCTAAGAGTGCTGTAGGCACTCCAGATGAGGAATGACGGGCTGTTTGGCACTACTTAAAGGTGCTCAGTTGGGCACACGAAAAGTAAGAAGAAATCAGAGGAAAGATGGACGACAAGAGGAAGACAAACATACGTAAAGCTGATTGTGTGTGTGTGTGTGTGTGTTTGTTTTGGCAGGTGCCCCTTATTTTGGGTATTTGGGGAGGCAAGGGACAGGGCAAGTCCTTCCAGTGCGAGCTTGTCTTCTCGCTCCTGGGAATTAAGTAAGTTGGAACTTAGAAAAAAAGTGTTAATCTAACCCGTCTGTGCTCTTTCCTTACTTGCCGTGTTCTTTGTTCTACTTTTATATCGTGTGGCTCCTGGACAAAAGTCAGCTGGAACTTAGTATGATTTTCTGCCTGTGGTCTTTTTGCTTTCTTGGGAATTAGGTAAGTTGGATCTTAGAAAAAAGTACAAACCTAAGTTCTAATCTGTCTGTGTTCTTTCCTTACCTTCTGTGCTGTTCGTCTTACTTGATCTTCTCAGTCCTAGGAATCAGCCAGCTGGAACTTGTTTGATTGTCTGCCTGTTGTCGTTTTGCTTTACTGAGTTTACGTCATCTTCTCATTCCTTGGGAGTCCAAGTGAAAGCTAGGACATGGCATAAATTGGATCCTCTGCCCGTATGTTCGCTGCTCTTTATTTACTTGTTCTTCTCACACCTATAGCTAATGCCCAAGTTGGAAACGAGTAAATTAGTAAAAATAGTTTTACAATACCAATTTTACCGATGTTCGTTGCTTTGCTAGAGTAAAACTCTACTCGTGCTCCTCTTTGCTTTACTTTCTCGTCTCTCTCCACAAGGAAAAATAAAAAATAAAAAAATGATACACAAATATAACACATGCCAGTAACTATTTTATGAGTGTAAGCCGTAAAAGTATGTAAATGACTCCTAACTTCCTAACACCCTGGTTAACAACATTAAAAAAAAAAAAAAAAAAAAAAAAAAATGTTATTGCAATCTCAGTTTTTCTTTTCACTTGAGTCGGAACTTCGCATGGATCTTTTTTTTTTTTTTTTTTTTTTTTTTTTTCTTAAGATGAAGACTTCACTTGGCGTGCCATCCATTAAATCCATTTGAGAATTTTGTGTTCTTTTCTATATGTTCTGTCCTGCGTTGTGCAAATCAGTAAGCAACTGTCTTTTTTTCTCTTATTTTCTTTACTTTCCTGCACTTAAGCACTGCAAGCAGAGGGAGGGTGGATGGTTCTCTTTGCAACATGACAGGTAGTGCTGAATGGTGCCACTGAGATGGTTCTCTTACCTGATCTCCATATAACCCAAAACCTAAACCCGTAACGCATATAACCCACATCTTATTTTACTGACGGATATGTATACATGTATGATATATAGTATGTACATAATACAAGGAATATGAGTGAGAGCGTAGACAGAAATCCAAATTGCAAAATCACGAAGTAGCCCAGTTAGTCATGTAGCATGCCGAGAGCACAATGCACCAAGATACCATCCAAATAAGAGCAATACAATGAAGTCGTATGTCAATGTGGACACTCTCTGGCCAGTATCCAATGTCGCTCCTACTGACTGGCGCCCAGCGCCCAGCCTACGCTACTCAGCCTACCTACGCCTATCTACATTCATGCAACTGGATCATGTCGAAGTTGAAGACCAATGTACGTGACGTCATCACCAATGCAGACCGCCAGCATACACCAGGTATGTCCTCTTTCCTCCCCTCATCACACCTTGTCTTCCCTCTTCATGCGCCTCCTTACCCGAAGACAACCTTCACCATCACCAGCCTGCGCCCCAGCGGCCCGGCTATGGCCGCCGTGCGCCCGCTGCCCCTCTCACCTCTTGCCCGCGCGTGCACGGCCAGCCTGCCTGCTAGTGCAGATACCGCACGGCAAAGCAGCAGGGTGGCCGCATTGCCTGCTCAGGCCAGAATCCCGTGCCCCTGGGCGCACACTTTCCTATATGGAAAGCGTGCCCTGCTGCTGGCCGTCCTGGGCCTGGCGTGCAGGGGCCCAGTAGCTTCCAGTTGGCCCGAAGTGTCTGCGCCCTGGCCCAGTTTCACACACTGGCCTGGGCCTCGTGCAGTTAGGCACGTCCAGGTAGCCCTCCAGGCTCCAAATGTTTGCTGCATTCTCATTGGCTCCTGGTAGATGTGTGATGACAATGCTGCATTCTCATTGGTCCACGGCTACTGCGTGATGTGTCAGCCTCCCACTGCATGTGCCCCGGGCGCAACCACCTGAGCCCTGGGCTCAACTTTACAGTGCAGCTGTTGCTTCTGGGAGGAGCCACAGAAGTCTCTCGTTGATCTGTAACCAACTTGCGTGCTGCAACTGTCTGATACCCCACATACGAAAAATGTTGAAAATAGGCCTCTCGTGGATGTATATGCCCGCCTTCACCTAGGGCGGGCACGAAGCTTGCTGGGGACCGCAGCGCGGAACATTTGCATGCCCGAGAAGGGCCTCGCAAGGGCTCATTCCTCGCAATAATTACATGTAACACTAAAACAAAAAAGTTGATTGATGGCTGTCTTTGTTTTCCTTCCCCATCCTTTCCCTTTTTTTCCTCTTTCCTTTTTCCTCTCTTTGTTGGGTGTGCTGCCCAGTCATCCATCCATCCATCCATCCATCGCACCCATCGCATCCATCCATCACATCTATCCCATCCATCCATCCATCCACACAAGCATCCATCCATCAATACCATCCACCCACCCATCCCTCCATTAATTGATTAATCTAGCTATTAACTGATTAATCCATCCATTGCTTCATTACTGATAATTGGTCCATGACTACCCAATGGAATTCATCCCTCAGCCCTATCCAGATGAGCGCGGGAGAGTTGGAGAGCGGGAATGCTGGGGAGCCGGCGAAGCTGCTCCGACAGAGGTACCGCGAAGCTGCGGACATCATCAAGAAAGGCAAGATGTGCTGTCTGTTCATCAACGATCTGGACGCCGGTGCTGGCCGTATGGGGGGGACCACTCAATACACCGTCAACAACCAGATGGTTAACGCGACGCTCATGAATATTGCCGACAGCCCGACCAACGTGCAGCTCCCAGGGATGTACAATCAGGATGAGATCCCTCGCGTGCCTATCATTGTCACGGGTAACGATTTCTCCACCCTCTATGCGCCGTTGATCAGAGACGGGCGTATGGAGAAGTTCTACTGGGCGCCCACCAGAGAGGATAGAATCGGAGTGTGCTTGGGCATCTTCAAGGAAGACAACGTCAATCTCCAGGACGTAGAGACCCTCGTTGACACCTTCCCCGGACAATCCATTGGTGAGTGCGAAGGAGCAATCATGCATGCATGCTCGCACGCACGCACGCATGCACTGCCCCATCCCTCTTTTTTTTTCTTTTTTTTTTAAAAGGCCCCTGTGCAAGGCCTCTGTCCTGGTAGCGGTAAGAGAACCACCGAGATTGAGGCTTTGCCTACCGGGCTGCTCCATCTATTGGTGGGGAGCCACACCTGCTGGAAACTGGGTCCAGCGTCCCTTAACACAGCCCTATCACATGTCTGCCTCTCCTTGCTTCTTTGCTTGCTCGCCATCATGCCTGCTTGTTTGCTCGATCTGTTGGCTCTGCCTGTTTGCTTGCTTGTTTGCTCGACCTGTTGGCTCTGCCTGTTTGCTTGCTTGTTTGCTTGCTTGTTTGCTTGCTGTCCTTTTTTTTCCCTTGCTTTGCTTGCTGTCTTTGCTTGTTTGCTTGCTTGTTTGCTTGCTTGTTTGCTTGCTTGTTTGCTTGCTTATTTGCTTGTTTGCTTGCTGTCCTTGCTTGTTTTCTTGCTGTCCTTGCTTGTTTGCTTGATTGCCTATTTGCTTGTTTGCTTGCTTGCTGTCCTTGCTTGTTTGCTTGCTTGCCCGCTGATCCCGCCTACTTGCTGAAAAAATGTGTGAAAAGATCAAGTGAGGACTCCGCTGTCCCCTCAGGCTGCTGGGGCATTTGCAGAAGTCGGAGAAGGGGCGAGGAGGGGGGGAGGGGGAGGGCCGGCAAATGTATCTTGTGTTCCCGTCTCATGAGCCCATATTAAGCCAAGTAACCAACAGAAGAGGAAGGGATGAAGAGGAAAAATGCACAGGTGGGGAGGGAGCACAGAAAAGGGGGAAGGAAAAATGGACTAAATTTTGCCTCCAACTTGCCTTTTCTTTGTGCATTTTATTTGGATGACCTTTTGTGTGCTCATGAATGCTTCCCAAAGTCGTCGACATTCGCTCTCTCTGCTTTCCTTCCGTTTGTGGACTTGTTCTGCTCATTCCCCTTCCTTTTCCTTCTCTCCTCCATCACTCTCTTCTCTCCTTTTCCTTCTGCTGCATTGCTCTCACTGGGGGCAGAATCCTTCCCCCTTTGCTCTGTGTGTGTGTGTGCGTGTGGTGAACCCTCGGTTTTCGATCTCTTTTTCCCTTCGATATTTTGCCTTCTTCTTTTCTCCTCTGCTCACCCCACTTCCT